TGTCCGTCCGGGTCCGCCAATGTCCGTCCGAGTCCGCCAATGTCCGTCCGAGTCCGCCAATGTCCGTCCGAGTCCGCCAATGTCCGTCCGTGTCCGCCAATGTCCCAAAAAACACGTCCGTTGTCTCATAGAATCCAAAAAGGACAGGACATAGGCGGACATAGACGGACATGACACCCCCCCCCCCCCCCCCCCCAATATTCAGACGACAGTGATGACTCATGAAGAGCACTAATTTCGACCACTTTCCCGGTCGAACCATACCAAATCAAACTAATTGACCCACGTGTATAGCCAATGTCCTGGCGGTGCTGAGCCGATGTAAAACTCTTCTGTAAACTCTTTTGTCTCTTGTAACTTGTTTATATTTTATATTTTAGTTATACTGTGTACTGTGTACAATAGTTATAGCGTATAGTGTGTAGTGTGTAGTGGTTATTTTGTTGTAACGTGTCACTTTATATTTTGCTACCAACGTCAGCCTTGACTTACCATTTATTGTAATTGGTACAGCATATATCAAAATTAAAACACTGTTTTCGATCTGACGGGTGATGGGCTCTCTCTGATGGGACATAGTTCTAGGGGGTACCCGGGGTACGAGTTAACGAATAGTGTTCGTGTCCTTCCACAATCCCCTCTCATTGTGTTTTTGACGGAGGAGGAGCCTAGTTCATCCGTCTGCATCGCTTAATCGAGTTAAAAATTTAGCCAATAACAAACTATATTACATGTTATACTGATATCAGATGTAGAGTTTATAACATACAAATTCTAAATTTTTGACGGCTGACGATGGTAAGTCGCTACGTTTAACTCGGGACTTTTATAGTTTTAAGTCTTGGAGCTCAAAATGTCTCGTGCTGTGGGCCGTATAAACGGCGCACAACACCGCCCTGCCTTACTGCTTATTACATTACTTCATGGTTGCCGGGCGGAGCCGGTGCCGTTTGTCTCGGCCTCGAGTGGCGAGTGCTTGCCCATCGAATACACGATTGAAACACTAATTATTTACTGGCATTCTACAGTTTCCAAAACGAAGTACGAAGGTATATTAACTTTGAGCTTTGTTTTGGCGACTGCTTCATCGATGGGCGAGTAGGTATTTGTTGTTTAGCAGTGTTGAATATTGGAGCAATTATATAATGTATATCTCCATCATAATATAGGCTAGTGTAAACATATATAATCAATAATACAAACAAATAGTATAGTTGTGGACACAACAAGAAAATTGAGAATAATCTTGTGCGAGGGTAGGGACCCAGATGTCGTTTCTAACCCAAATAAACTTTAAGGAGGCTTCTCATCAGTAGCCGCACCTCCTTACTCGGTTTCTGAACTGGAATTCTATGGGCTTCCAGACGGCCAGACCGAGTATTACCATCCCATCCTTCTAGAGTTCATCACAAGTAGCACCCACCTTGAAGATCTTTGACACCCAGACACACCCCATTGGCGAACAAACTTTGGATATAATCTTACATGCTCCCGAAGGAATCCCTGGTTTATGGTCTTTCTCATCGTCACCAGCACTTTCACTAGGTCACCAGCTCTTTCACTGAAGTCATCAGCCCTTTCACTGAAGTCATCAGATGTGACTCTGATCAACGGTATAGTTGTGGACACAACAAGAAAATTGAGAATAATCTTGTGCGAGGGTAGGGACCCAGATGTCGTTTCTAACCCAAATAAACTTTAAGGAGGCTTCTCATCAGTAGCCGCACCTCCTTACTCGGTTTCTGAACTGGAATTCTATGGGCTTCCAGACGGCCAGACCGAGTATTACCATCCCATCCTTCTAGAGTTCATCACAAGTAGCACCCACCTTGAAGATCTTTGACACCCAGACACACCCCATTGGCGAACAAACTTTGGATATAATCTTACATGCTCCCGAAGGAATCCCTGGTTTATGGTCTTTCTCATCGTCACCAGCACTTTCACTAGGTCACCAGCTCTTTCACTGAAGTCATCAGCCCTTTCACTGAAGTCATCAGATGTGACTCTGATCAACGGTATAGTTGTGGACACAACAAGAAAATTGAGAATAATCTTGTGCGAGGGTAGGGACCCAGATGTCGTTTCTAACCCAAATAAACTTTAAGGAGGCTTCTCATCAGTAGCCGCACCTCCTTACTCGGTTTCTGAACTGGAATTCTATGGGCTTCCAGACGGCCAGACCGAGTATTACCATCCCATCCTTCTAGAGTTCATCACAAGTAGCACCCACCTTGAAGATCTTTGACACCCAGACACACCCCATTGGCGAACAAACTTTGGATATAATCTTACATGCTCCCGAAGGAATCCCTGGTTTATGGTCTTTCTCATCGTCACCAGCACTTTCACTAGGTCACCAGCTCTTTCACTGAAGTCATCAGCCCTTTCACTGAAGTCATCAGATGTGACTCTGATCAACGGTATAGTTGTGGACACAACAAGAAAATTGAGAATAATCTTGTGCGAGGGTAGGGACCCAGATGTCGTTTCTAACCCAAATAAACTTTAAGGAGGCTTCTCATCAGTAGCCGCACCTCCTTACTCGGTTTCTGAACTGGAATTCTATGGGCTTCCAGACGGCCAGACCGAGTATTACCATCCCATCCTTCTAGAGTTCATCACAAGTAGCACCCACCTTGAAGATCTTTGACACCCAGACACACCCCATTGGCGAACAAACTTTGGATATAATCTTACATGCTCCCGAAGGAATCCCTGGTTTATGGTCTTTCTCATCGTCACCAGCACTTTCACTAGGTCACCAGCTCTTTCACTGAAGTCATCAGCCCTTTCACTGAAGTCATCAGATGTGACTCTGATCAACGGTATAGTTGTGGACACAACAAGATAATTGAGAATAATCTTGTGCGAGGGTAGGGACCCAGATGTCGTTTCTAACCCAAATAAACTTTAAGGAGGCTTCTCATCAGTAGCCGCACCTCCTTACTCGGTTTATTATTATTGGTAACTCGCTAGATTATAAATGTTATTTAAACACATATGTTTACGTCAATTATTACTAAAATTAATATTCTTTTTGCTTTAATATAATTACATGTCACATAATTGATTAGTTGAATGAAACGTGTGCTACAAATGTCTACGCCTCACGCAGAACTGCGTACTGCTTAGTACTTCATGCTTGAGCGGTACTGCTGTTCACAGAGGCGCGCACTCAATTTAATCACAAATAACGAGCGCGCGGTTTTTGGAATTTCTCCATTAATATTATTCGATCTATTAATTAGATCGTAGTGCTCACGGCCTGTACTGCGTGAACGACAGAAATATGTTTTCAATTATTTTGCTTCTGAAATTTTGGCTCTAGTAATTAAGAAATGCGACATGTAATTGTAAGATAACAATTAAATAGATCCTGTGCGCGGCGCCTACAGCTGACCTACGAATTTCTGAACAATTGAAAATTGTGGCTGTGTGCGCGGCGTACTGTATATGTGTTTGAAATTGAAATTTGAATTTATTTATGAATATAACATTATGTATTGATTGTTTTGTGGTAAATTTTTTAAAAAAAATTTCTTTCCTAGTGTAACTGGTATATATTGGTGACGTGCACAAGGCTTAGTAAGGTATTTGCTCGTATTATCGGATGTAACGGCAATGTGAACACGTTATTATATATTGTGTGTATTGTGTGTTTGTTGCAATTGGGGTACGTTAATTGGAAGCGTCGTCACGCTTTCTACTCACATACACCCGCCTCCGAGAGAATTATTCTCAGAACTAAGTGTAGTTTTCGATTTGTTGTAATTGGTGTGGTTTACTCTGCTGTTTCCACACAGCTTGAAGGTTTGAAATGTAGCGAGTAAAATCAACTCACATTAAACAATTTAGATGATTAACTTTTTCGATTATAACATGGAGACTGTATAGTCATGAAGTTTACAAAATAGACAAATAGATTATTTTATAGACCAAATAGATTATTTTATCCTCAGAAGTATATCTACTATCTATACTATAAACTTGTGATTTATGTAGGATTGTTAATACGATATGTCTTTAGGATTGCTACTTACAGTTTTGGTCATTGTGTCATTTAATGTTCATCTTGGCGTTTAGTTATTTGGGTTTTAGTATGCACTATATTCATTATTCAAGATTTGTTCATACTACACGCTATACATGGAAATTTTCTGCTTTCAGGATGTTTAAATGGTTTGTCAGAAGATATTATATCTCGTTGTGAGAGTTGGATCTACATCATTCAGAAAATTAACTATTGTAACAGCTGACAGAAATGGTGCACACACATTTGGCAGTGGCGTAACAAATGGCCCCTCTGACCCCGCTGTGCGAGGGGGCGCCATTTTAGGTGGGCGCAAAATCGTCGTTTGAATGTGGGACAATTTTGAAAAACTTAACTGACGTACTAGCAAAACTGCGCGTTTTGTTCTAGAAACACACTTTTTTAGAGATTTTACCAGCGTATCCTCTAAAATCACCTTATTAGTTTAATTTTAGGGAGGGGTGTCAAAAGGGGAGGGGTGCCAACAGGGGGCGCACTTTCGGCGGGGGCGCCAACAGGCAATGTTACACCACTGACATGTGGATGAATTTAAGTTGATGGCAAAAACGGAGATGAAGCTCCCAAGTACTCTTTTAAGGAGCTTCTATTAATATAACAACTGGACTTTAACTGTGTATTCTCAGGGACAGGACACTTATCTGAAGTTTTTGCACCAGCTGATGAAACCCAAAAAGAACATGAACTTAACGTTGGATACTTGAGGTATATAATTTGCAGTATACCGGCCACTTTGAACCAATGTATTGGTTCAACTTCCAGGTTGAAATATTTAGCAACTTTATCACCTGCTCATCCTATGGTTTTAACGCTTTAGTCCTATCAATGCCATTGACCACTGGAATACTTAGCTAGTTAGCTTTGGTAATGAAATTTCTATAATCTAGGTGGTTTGTCATGTGTTAAAAAGGAAACAAGCAGAGGATTAAGATGCTCACCTGAGTGGAGTATTCTGTCTGAGTGGAGTACCAAGTGTACACATTGATGATTCCTCTCCATCTAAGGTATGTATGATACAGGTTAAAGTACCTTGACAGGCTCACATGTATTACTTGTATATCTTAGAAATGGTTCAGATATTAGGCACCTGGGTGGTGAGTAAATTTTCAATGTTCTAGAAATTAACTAAAATTATTTATTAATACATTTCATCGTGTTCGCATACCTTGTAAACTTGATATACAACTCAAGTTCCCTCCGCACTTAAATAACACAACATCAAAGAAGCACGACCACTAAGACATTAGGGACAACTTTGGGTTTGAAGTCTGCCATAACTTGGGGGATTCAATTATCTGTCAGTGTACACTTAAGGCACGTTTTAGGGACACTTAAGGCTTAAGGTTAAGGCACAGATAAGACAAAAGGGTTACTTAAAGCACATACACGAATTACCAAATTGCAACACTGTCAGCACACTGAGCACAGAGCAGATATGCCAGCCTCCTTGCCAGCCAACTGGTGGTATAATCTATATGTTATTATCATGTTACCCTGCTCAACTGGACTAATTTTAGGCAGGTCATATGATTTGTAGGGCGCCAATTTTATAATATTAACACCTCTCTACTTTGAGACTTAACACCATGCAAGATGTTACAAGAGTAACACTACCACCAAACGACGTGAAGACCCTGAAGAAACACTACATTTCTAAAATAGAGTTCTACAGAAGCCAAAACAACAACAAGTGGAAACACTGGCCCAACAAGACCAAAGCTCTCCTCCAAACTTTACTGACACAGACTAAGAAAAGGAGGAATTTCAAAAAGCGACAACACCGGAACGACAGGAAAGTTGAGCGTGACGCCAAAAGAGCACTGGATACAGGAAGTGTTGTAGTGTTGGTTAACGAAGACATACCTGCTGGGGCACTGGCACTGTTAGGAAAAGGACTAGGCTATATCCCAACCCCAACTCGGGATAACATCGACTTGAGACTTGACATGAAGCTCGTCACCAACAAAATACTGAACTATTCTAATAGAGTACTTTCCGGAGAGACAGGATTACCTAACATCAGTAACCTCCCCGCCAAACTCCGTAGAAAAAACTACTCTACAGCAAAACCAAGCAATGAACAAGCAGTCAATACAGCAGTGGACACAATGAGACGAGAACTCGACATCAAATTGAAGACTGCCGGAAGCCCACCTAAGCCCACCAACTTATCCTCTTCTGAGATAAAAGGACTCAAATGGTTGGAACAGCGCATTAAAGATGGGACAATAGCCATCACTAAGGCAGACAAGGGTGGTGCAACCCTTATTATCGACCCTGACCTCATCAAGCAACGGACACTGGAGAAACTGGAAAATCAGCAACTATATGAAAAGTTGGACTGTGACCCTACTCAACAGCTGTATGAGAAACTCTTCAAGCACTGGGTACAGGGAAAAGAAGAAGGACTGATATTAGCAAGGGATGTGAAAGAAGTGATGGGTGTTTCTGACAACACCAGAGCAGACCAAACTGGACCCACAAACCGCCCCAGTACCCTCCCACACTATCGCCCTGGCCAGCCGTATTTCTACCCTGCTTTTAAAATTCATAAGCTGAAGAAAGAAGAACTCATACCAGGGGCCAAACCACCAGCAAGACTCATTACCGCCCTCCACGAAGGAGCCAGCAGACGACCGGATGTCTTCCTAGCTGATAAATACCTACGCCAACTAGAAAGGGATTTTTGCTATTGATAATAGAGACGCCTTAGTCTGGCTCGACAACATCAACAATACCCTGGACACAGAACTCAAAAGCAACATTAAAGCATTCACATTTGATTACAAAGCTTTATATGATTCATTGAGTCCCCACCTTACACTCCAAGCTTTGAAGGTGGCCATGGAAGAAAAGAGACCAGAATGGTCCGCCAAATTCAAGGAGTGGTTGATAAGAAGTGTTGAACTCAGCTATGAGTCGTCTATAGGCAAATTTAACGGAGAGTGGTACAGACAGAAACGAGGAGTACCAACAGGAGGCAGTATCTGTGTACAACTTGCAAACATAGCAGTATACCATGTCATGCGTGAGCAAGTCTATTCAGACACGGAACTAATGGAACCTGTAAAATCGGTCAAGAGATACATAGACGACGGCTGTGGAGTATTCCATGGTACGAAAAGACAGTTTTCAAAATTCATCGCGACTGTCAATTCAAGGCTAGCAGAACTTGGCCTCCACATTGATGAGAACATCATAGAAGATAACAATGTTTATGTGGCGTTCTTAGACATCAAATTTTGTTTCGACACCGCAGGTGATCTTCAGACAGACCTTCATGTTAAAGAGACTGATGCTCGCTCCTACCTGTACTTCGGTTCCCACCACCCGAACCATACATTCAGCAGCATAGTCTATAGTGCATGCCTGAGACTCCGGCGATTCATCAATGATAACGACAGACTCCGAAAACAAATTGATGAATTAAAAACCTTTTTCTTCCAATCCAACTACCCTAAAACTATGGTAGATAACATCAGTGAAAAAGTCAAAGGCTTTGAAAGATGCCTCAAACCACTGGACAACTCAAACAGCAATGTCCTGGTCCCAAAGTCTCCAGAACCAGCAGTCCGCGTTATTTCAACATTTGGCAGCGATCAAGAGTTAGTAGAATCGGTAAAAAGATTGGAACCAGAACTCAGTAGAACCAGGAGCTTCTCAGGATTATCTGGTTCCCATACTAGTGGAAACACCCCAGGCTCCCCAATATCATCTAGAGCCGGTACATCACGCCCTATCTTCAAATTCGTCAGACGTACTGGAACATCATTTAGAAGGAAGTTAGTCAAAGCAAAACAATTTGCGGATGACTTAACCCAACCTCACACAAGACCATGTGGGGGCAGACACTGCGGTACCTGTAACATCATATCTCCACATCCATCAATAACAGTCAATGGACAGCGAGCCAAAGCAGTGTCTGGTACATGTGTCAGCTACAATGTTGTATACATCTTCAGTTGCCAACTTTGTAATATGTGTTATGTAGGAAGAACGGTGCAGCCCCTAAGGGCACGAGTAAACGAACACCGCGCCCATTACTACAAACTCATTTCGGACAATACGTTTGTCCCTGAAGAAAACGACGACGGATTCAGCTTCGGTAAACACCTTGTAGAAGTTCATAACATGAAACAACGTGACAATTTCAACCAGGCTTATAAAGTGTCAATTCTCAGTAATAGTAGCCCAAGAACTCTAGAAGTGGATGAACACCGTTATATTCAGAAACTAAGAACTATACGTCCATTGGGGCTCAATGCCATGGACCCGTTTGGGATTCCATTATTGGATTTATCTTAAAGGTTTTCCATTGCATTGGGGCACAAGAGTTATGTTTTTAAAAATATTCATATCGTTTTTAGTTGTGTCATTTCATTTCCAATGTTACACTTTGTAGGAACTGATATTAACCGAGTTTCTGATTCAGGATGTTACTGAAGATAGTAATGAAAATGTTTTAACACCTCAGTACTGTGTTTTACTACAGCTCAACCTGCTCAGTCTGACTATTTGGGAATTTAAACTCTTGATAAGAGTACACGTTAATCTCAGCTACTACTAGTAAGGGTAGTAACTAAGGGCTATTCGGTAATCTGTCGGTGGACACTTAGCTGGCAAGGAGGCTGGCATATCTGCATAGAGCTCAGTGTACTTGATAAAATGGTCTGTTCCTTACAATTTGGTTTAGGAAGGCGAGAAGTGAAAAATATACTTTAATTTGGGTAGGGCACGTGATATAAAATTGCAGTTGCAATCTCAATATTCCTCAAATCTCCCTACAATATTCAGAATCCCCAAATAAAAACAATAAACTCAAAACTCCCTCTCTCTGGCCTAATCTTAAGTCTCCCCAGATAGTCAAAACAATCCCAAACTCACTGTTTGCGATCTCTAAACAATCTAAACAATCCAAACTAAACTCCCGATAACCAAAACAGAGGTGTTAAAATTAAACATCTATACTACCATACTGAACTAAATATCGTACGCTAAAATCTGCCCTAAAATACTGCGCTAAAATACTGAACAAATGCTGACATACATAAAAACGTAAAATATAGAAAACAAAATTAATCAAGATCAGAATATAAACAGTTTCAAGTCTATTGCCATTTTATTATAAGAATATTATCAATCCTTTCCAAGATATCGGCTGGTTATAAATATCATAGCATAACGTTCTTTCCACAGAACTGTCGATATAATTGATGCAAAAATGCATTTTGTGTAATTAGGACAAATGGAACGAATGATCTGCCTTTCTAAACTGGTGTCTCAGAGTATATTGGGTATAAACATCTCCGGAAATAGGCCGAAAGCTCTTAAACCAAATAATCAGAAGAGTAAATTGGTTACTTGCGTTTACCCAGTATTTCTTCTTCCTCTGTGCTCTTAGATGGATCACGAACGTGTACGTGACCCTGGTCATTAGAAACACCCTTTAAAGTGTACGTGCACACATTTAGACACTGTCCAACAAGCCCGACACAGCTCCTTATAATTCCACCAAAACACATTTCGGCGGAAGTCTACCCTAACACTAACTTATATCGAAATGAGATTTTTTAGATTGATCCTGAGACGCAGCTCATTTAATAATCTGATAAATTTGTTCATAGATTAATAATGTAAGTAAGTATGGCTTAATGTGCCGTTTATTTGCTTCATTATAATTATTAAGAATGACGGTGTAGCAAGTTTTACTGTATTTGTTTTGCCACGTGCCGTTTGTTTTCCTTGTACTATATAGAAAGTGTTCATCGGCAACAACTAATAAAAATTATGTACATATATGCAAGTAATTATAATAATTTATAGACAATCTGACATACCCACAAACATAGGGTTAATTTGTCTATGAACTTATAAAGTATGGCTTAAGCTAAGTGCAAACACAGTAATGATTCTGTACAGCTCGTCTTGAGAGGATTCTGTGACAGCGAACGATCCCATAAGCCATAACTGAGACTTTGCACCACTGAGATTTTGCATGATTTTG